GTTTAGTAGTGAAGGCCAAAGGCCGTTTTGGCAGTATTAAACTGCGAGTTCGAAAGTTATAGACTTGAAACTTTCAGTGTATATGTAAAATTAGGAGCTGACCAAGTTTACTTAAGACACCAAAGTTGGTTATCTTAATAAATAACCAGGTATTGACGATTTTAGTACTGACGGATTTTTAGCTATTTTTGTGTAAAAAGGATTTACGAAAAGAGTCTCCTTTTTTTTTGATTTTTATTTTATTATTTTTTTTATTATATATATATAATATTTTTTTTTTTATTTATTAATTTATTTATTTACATATTATCTCTTTTTTTTTTTATTAGACAGTTTCACTTTTTTTTTTACTTTTTGTTTGTTTTTCTATTGTTCTTGCTTTTGCAATAAAAAGCCAGAATACTGATAACCTGGTCTGAATTTTGTTTTGCACAATACCAAATTTTTTATTTTTTATATTTTTTTATTTTTTGTGTTTGTTTTAATTTTTACTTTTTACTAATCTTTTTTTTATTTTTTATTAGCAAAATAATGACATATTTCATTCAGAAGCTCTCTAATTCAGGATAATGCATCTGTATTATTATAAACATGTCCATGATAGTGAATGTTCTAAATTATAAGGCTGCAGCTTTAATACCTAATAAGCTTATTGACTACTCAACACAAAAGTTTGAAGCTACTTTAAAGCAGAATAATTGGTTATTACAATGAAAAGGTTCAATCTGACATAATGATGAAAGTGCTTAATTACCCAAAGAATAACAAAACACTCATGTTTGATAGTATTGTAATTTATTTCAGCATTGGTTAATCTATGGCTTGTATATGCAACTACATATTCATTATCTTGATCATCTTTTTGTGTTAACATGGATCTAAACTAAACCTAGAAGCATCTCATGAATTATGAATACTTTATCAAAATTCTGGTAGTATAAAATTGGCACATTAATAAAATGTTGCTTTAATTTATTGAAGGCATTATTTGATTTTTTTTCCATTTAAATTTAATGTTTTTTTTGTAATAGCTAGTGCAAGGGATATACTATAGTAGTGAATTTGAAAATAAACTTTTAATAGTATAAAGCTAACTCTAATAAATCTTGTAATTCATGAAAAAATTAAAGAATAGAAAAGTTATGAACTTTTTCTACTTTTCTTTTGTCAAGGTGAATGTCCTCTTTGCTAATATGGCCTAAAAATTACGAGTTTAAAGAAAAAACACTTATTTAGCTTTAATTTCAACTCTATACTTCTTAATTTATTAAAAACAGCAATGAGATAGTTAGTATAGTCTTCAAATATTTTTGAATAGATAATAATGTTGTCAAAGTACATAATGATAAATTTATCCAAAAATTCAGCTAACACTTTATTTATTATTTGTTAAAATGTAATAAGAGTGTTCATTAGGTTGAATAGCATTATCATAAATTCATACATTCCAAAATTTATAATAAATGCCTTTTTACTGTTAGTATACTTTACCTAAACTTGCCAGTATCCAGATAGCAGGTTCAATATCAAAAACTATGCAGCTGATCCAAAAACTTCCAAAAGATCATCAACATAAAGAAGGTGAAATATGTTCTTCTTTATAACCAAATTGAGCTGATGATAGTCAATACAGAGATGTAGCTTACTACCTTTTTTTGCAAAATAATTATAGGAGACACCTATAGGCTGGTACTCTCTTTTACTAATCCTTTCACTTTTAACTTTTTGATTTTATTCTTTATGAAGCTGCATACTAAGGGCAGAATAATAGAAAACTTGCTTAATCAAGAAGGCACTTCCAGTATTTATTTTATGAATATACACTGATATCTGTCCAAAATTATCTATAGTTTTAGTGAAAACATTCATTTCTTAACTTAATACATCACTCACATGCTTTTTTTGATCATTTATTAGGGCTTTATCATCAAGATTTTTTTTAGTTTTCAATTATGTTATTTTTTTTCACATCTTTCTTTACAGGGACATCTTAAATGTCAGAAAGATACTGTGATTCCAGAATCAGTGATTCAGTTGCTACTTTAATCCAACTCTTATATAATCTATAGCAGCTATGTAGAAATAAATGTATTAGATTTGGCTGGTAGCTTGTCTATAGGTAAATACTAGTCTTTTTTCTCAAGTCTTTTCTTTAACAAATTCTTCTATTAACCTTTGTCTTCTTTTGTTTTCTTTTGTCTTCTCTTGTTTTCTCTAGTCTTCTCTTGTATGCCTCAACTTGGGATTACATTATATTGAATTGGGGTTGAAATTCTTCTATTAGGCAATAGCTTTCTGGTCATGTGAGTTATGTCAAGTTATCAACAAAGAGTTTAGTAGTTTATTGGAAAACAATAGAGATAGCAGTAGAATTAATAATTGTTTATTAGTTTGTATAGAGTGATACTTTTACTTTTATTAGAGATCAAATATTTAGTATTATAAAGAGATTTATTGGTATATGAAATAATTCTCTCTTTTTTCTAAGTCAAAAATGTTCTTTATTTATAATAAATGTTTTGTTTACATTTGTAATTAATTTTTATTATAAATGTAATATATTCCTTATATGCTATATATTAGCTAATTGTAATAAAAAGCTAATATGTCATTTAATACATATATGGCTAAAGTAGCAGAAAAGACATAAGTACCATAAGTACTATAAATACTATAAGTATTATTAATAATATTTTTATTACTTTTCACATGACCTTGGATCAGGCAGGGATCATCATCCAGATTTGGGCATCTGGAATCTTAAAAATAAGGCTCACAATACATAGCAAAACTTTTATAATCAGCTACAGGTTTTATATAACTCCAACTCACTATATTGGTTAGTTAAGAATTCTTCTGCTTTGTCTAAATTTTTATCATTGAATTTGAAACCATCAAATAGGTCTTTATTATTTGGCTTTTTCAGTTTTTTAGGCTTCTCTTTTATTACTGAGGAAGCTGATAGGATTTCTTCTTTGTAAAACATAGGTATTTCCATAAATTTACCCTAACATTGCACATATAATTTTCTTTCATTAGTGTGCAAACAAATGCCAGTTTAATAGAACCAATCCATATCCAATAGGAGTATTTGTTCAGTTGATTCTATAATCTAAAACATGGTCATGATCACTACAATACTCATGACCAACTTAAGATCAATTATTTTTCAAGAGCCTTTGTTTTAGCTTTATTTGCAACAATAACCATTGTAGTAGAAGGTTCATTGATCTTCAACTGCAATTTTTCTGCTATTTTATTCGACATTATGCTAATAGTGACATCTAAATTGAGTATAGCTACTATGAGATTTTCTTTAATCCTAATATGGCAATGAGTAGTGGTGGTTCTTGTGATTGTAAAGGCTTGTGTGGTCATTACTTTCATATTAATTAGTTTGAAATTCTGGGTTGCTACTGGTACTAAGGATCTTTTTATTATATTAACCAAATGGTGTTTTTGATCAGGTTATTGCAGCATTTGACCTAATGTAACATTGGCTTTCATATTCAACATATCCTGTACAATGTTATACAGTTTTAGAGTACTTATGAAGGATTTACTAGTATGAGTGCTGCTAGAGCAGACATTACTAGAGCAGGCATTACTAGAACAGATACTATTAGAACAGTTGTTACTAGTAGGTTTTCACTTGATGAAGCCATGGCAGGCATGATTTTAGGGACCTGGATGGGACAAGATCCTTTATTAGCTGCCAGAAGTACTATTTTTTTATAGTGGCTAGGTCTTTAAGTAATGTACAGTTGATAACAAATAGCAGAAGCAGTAAAGGCTTTATTTTTATTGATGTTTTCATCTTGTTTATTAACTACACTTATATGATTGGCATTTCTTAAACAGAGAAGAATCTGGGTTAGTGTTGTAGCATGATTTATATGAACTTGAAGATAGGCTTAAGGTGTTATTTGATTTGGCATTTGGGGCCAATTTTGGTTTCAGGTTCTTTTTGATATACAATTATATAAAATATATCCAGGTTCTTCACAATTGTAACAAGTCAGATAGGTATTGTTATTGCAGTGATATCATAATTACTATGGTTACTATAATGATTGTTAGCTCAGGACTTGCTTCAAAATATGTGAATAATGTAGTTATCAACTTTTTATATTCAGTAGTTAGTACCTGCATTTGCTGTATTAATTAGGCAACTTTACTGTTATATGCTTTGTCTCTTTCATTCTTCTTATTATAGTATTCTTTAGCTTCAATTTTATGAGTATCTTGTATTGCAACATTCAAACTATCAAGGTTTGCAATACTTAACCATGCAATGGTTTTGGCTTTAAGGCTATCTAAAAACATTTGTACAATATACAATCTGAAAAGCTGGTTCCTAGGATTCACTTTTTATAACAATTTCTTGAACTTGTATATATACAAATCTACTTGCTTAATTAGTTGTTACTTAATCAGTTGTTGTTTTAGTTCATTCAGGTTGACCTGCCATTTATGCTATTTTTTAGAAATTGCAAAGTACTAGATGAACAACTGAATAAACTTTCATCTAGATGGGTTTCTTTATTCCAATATACTAAGTTATTCTTTATTCTATCATGCCAACTTGTAGCAATTTTATATAAATAACCTAGACTATCTTTATCTTGTGTTCAGGAGACCAATTGTTGGCATTGACTATATGATCAAAGGCTTTTATCTACTCAAAAGGGTCTTCTTCTATGTCTTTATGAAAATTGTCTACACAGACTAGATTGGTTTCATAAATAGGAGATCTAACAGCAGCAGCAACTTCTATAGTCACTTTTTTAAATTCAGCAGTGATTTCTTGCAGAATTAATTCAAGAATATCTGGGTCTTGTACTTGAACTTGTCTTTTATCATTGGTTTAATTGTTTCTATTTGACAAAAGGCTGTTCACAGACATATAGTGACTTTCAAAAAGAAGGTTATTGTTAAAAATTAATAAATCATCATTTTTAAAAACATTAAAAGAAGTTCTGAGGTTATTAGATTACTGGGATTCATAATTCTAATAGATATTTATAAAAGAAATTCTGTTATATATTTTTTTTTAATTATTTTTGTTAAAGTAAAAAGGCAATTAATAATCAGATTTTCACTTTTATTTATATTAGAGTTGGTGTGGAATCTATGAAAGAGCACTCTAATAATGAGGTAATTATGATTACTATTGTTATAGATCTCTTATTTGTTTGTTAAGTATATTAAATGATTGGAGTATATATATATATATATATTTTTTATATGTGTATTAATTTTTTTTTTGTAGTAGTCAGCTTGTATAAGGGCTTTACTTAGAGAAGTATTGACTTCTCGGTTCTATTCTTTCCTCTTCTTTTTTTTTTTTATTATACTAATTTAACTGAAATTTCTTATGATAATTTTAACAACAGAGTATTCTGCACAGTTTGTCAAGTATAGTTTTTTTTCTTTCACAATTGATTAAATAGTTTTATAAATTTAGGCACATTTCTTCTAAGTTCACAGTTTTGTTCTTACTTTAATCTTTCAACAAAGAACTCAAATATAATCAACTTAAACTTGAAGGTTAGTACAGAATTAGATTGATAGAATTTTAGGTCTGTTTTTTTTTTTTTTTTTTTCTTATATTTCTCAAATATTGGCTAATAAGGTTTTGGTTATTACAATTTTACATTCATTATCAAAAATTGTGACAGATTATATGATTAAATTCAAAAATGAGGCAAATGTAACAGATTGTTGCTAGAGAATTGGCTATGCTGTATAAGTTTCTCGAAGATAATAAAGGTGGTTTTATGATTTAGCAATGGTCAAAGCAATCAATAAAAAGTATTACAAAATAAGTATTATAAATTTAAAAGAACATTATAGTATTTTATAGGTCAAAGGACTTTATTAATTTTATTAATATTTTGTAGAAGCATTACAATTATGTTATTATGGGGTTGAATTCTGAACTACTCTGAACTGTTTTTCAGAAGAGGAAAATTTTACTCTTTTTATAATAAATTTACTGCAAGAAGAGCCTGCACAAGACTATGAATTTTCTTATTATTTCTAATACTTTCTAACCTTATTTGTTATAATTTTTAACCTCTTTTATACAGCTTTTTGATATTTTAACATTTTTCATGACTTTCATAGAATAAATGAGAAATGTTTAAGTTTTATAATTTCAAAGCAAGAACCAATTGTATTGTCTTCAATCACACCCCTTTGACATTGTCTTACACCTAATCCAAGTAGGGTAAATGGTGTTAACATTCATTCCCAATATGAACAGGTTAGTATAGATTGAGACCTTTTTTTAATTAGAAGAGGTGATAAGGTCTTATATAGAGGCTTGTGTACTTTTATATAGCTTCTTTGGAGCTAAGCATACATGTTTCAGATGAATTATCATAGGCAACTCTAATTAGATAAGTATGCCACAATGATGTTCATTTTACAGATTCTATAAGATGTTAGTTTTACCTCTAACAACATATTTGTTCATTAGAAAATGATAAGTTTTTATTTTTTCTTTACCTGATTCTTATTCTGTATTGTTATTTACAACATTTTATGCTTGACTAGTGTTATCAGATGCATCTAGAATTGAGTCAAGCATATTATTAATATCAAACTCATTATTGCTAATATTTATATGCTAATATTTATATTAATATTTTTATCAATATTAAAATTCATCAATTTTAAATAAAATAGACATATTAAAATAAAATTGATAATAATTCTATGACATAATTTATTTTGCTTAATAGCTTTAAATTACAATTAATAAAATAACAAAAAATATTTAATGGTTAAAGTTTATTTAGAATTTTTAACAACATTTACAAAAAAATCTAATAATATAAAAATAATATTTACAATAAATTTTATTAATTTATTTAAGTACAAAAATTTTATTAATTTATTCAGATACTAAAAAAATTATTTGACATGCTATTTATATGATGACTACAGTCAAAGAATTTATCAAATTAGAAAATTGTATTCTAAAACAATTTACAAGTAGATTCTTAAATTTGATTGGCTCTTATATGCCTTTTATTTCTCAAAAATCATATATTCAAAAAAATTTTTTTTTAATAATTATCAAAACCAAATAGGCTTTGAATATATAGTTCAAGATAACTAGTTTCCATCATCCCAAAAAATCATTTATGATAAACTCTTTAAGTAGAAATAAATAAGATGCTAAAAATAGATATTTATTTCATATAGAATATTTAGATTCATAGTTAGCTAATTTAAGATTGCTTTAAAATTTTATGTTAGTATTTCAAAGTTTTTAAGTTTATTTTATATATAGTAACATTTATTTTTAATTTAGTTTTAATTATATAAGTGTATTAAAAGCAGTTTGCAAAAAAACACACAAAATATTCAAAATAAATTTAGTTATCCTTTAATTTGTAAGTTTTTTCAGACAAATTTGTTTAAAAAATTGTTAAAAATATGCTTATAATCTATATTTTTTAAATTTTAAAATACAGTAGCCTATTATATAAGTGTGGACACTTTTTGGATCATAATTGCTTAATAACGGGTAAGTATGCATAGCATGAAAGTTATATTATGTGTTCAGTAGATCCCATTGTACATCATACTAAAATTTCACTTGTATTCATTAAATTACGCAAAAGTTATGCAAAAGACAAGCCAAATTACTATTTTTAGATATATATAAAAATCAATTTTGGCTTTTTTTTCTTTTAAAAGAAAAATTCACTAAAAATCGATTTTTTTTTGTAATAGCTCCAAATTTTGCTCAAATATTGTGCAATACCAAGATAACATTACTCAAGTTAAAAAAAGATACATATATATGACAGATTGGCAGAATTAATAAAACAAAGATAATCTTGAGTTTTTTTTCCCAAAAAAATAGGTAGCTATAAAAATTTGACTGAAAAACAAAAAGGTGTAATAATTTATAGCCACCAATGAGAAGATTTACTTCGCATGATTAGTGCTGCTGTTGGCTGTAGCAAGTCTTCTGTATGAAATGTTGTAAAGGCATTTCATCAGTCAGATGCAGAAGCACTAAAAAAAAAAAAAAACTGGACATCCAAGAACCTTAACCCCTTCTAATCTTAGAAGCTTAAAAAATTTTGTCACTAACAGCAACTGCCATCTTACCCTCACTCAACTCACCACTCTCTTCAATAAAAAAAGCAAAAAAAACCTTTCAGAAAGTACCATATATTGTGCCTTGCACAATTTGAACTTGTCCTCTTGTGTCACCTCTTAGAAGTTATTGCTTTCCCTAGTGAACCAAAAAAAAAATATGAATGGGCTCTTAAACATAAAGACTGAACTGTTCAGCACCTCAAGCATGTATTGTGGTCTGATAAAACCACTATTCATCTTTTTCTGAGTTCTCCTGGCCATGTGTGGCATAAACCTAAAGAGAAATGGAGTATTGATTGCTTGGATTGTACTGTAAAGTACAGTAAAGATTGAATGTATTGGAGTTGCTTCTTCTGGTTTGGGGTTGGGCCTCTTGTTGCATTAGCATCTTTGCTACAAGTGACTTACATACCAAAATTTTTTGTAAGTATGCTTTTCTCACAATAAAAAGATTTTTAGCAAATAGTGATTATGGTCTTCTGATCTTTATTCAGAACAATGCAAGACTCTACATTGCTACAAATATGAAAAAGTTTTTGAATAAAAATCAGGTTTAGGTGATGAATTGGCTGCCTCAGAGTCCTGATCTGAATTCTATAGAGAACCTTTGATATATGGTAAAAAGGGCTTTGTATAAGGTTTTGCATAGTAAAAAAAGGCTGAATAAGCTTGAAGATCTTGATGTTCTTGTCAAAAAGGCATAGAAAAGTATACCATTAAGATATTGCTGTGAGCTTATTAGAAGTATGCCTGATCGAGTTGCAGCTTGCATAAAAACTAAGGAGGGACCTACAAAATATTAAAATAGAGTTAGATTTTTTTTTTGTTAAAAAAAAAAATAAAAAAAGAAAGATCTAATTTTGTATTTTTGTACAAATAAAAAAAGCCAAGTTTGTGGTTTTTCTTATATAACTTTTGCACAATTTAATGAATCCAAGTGAAATTTTAATACATTCTATATTGAAATCTACTAAACACGTAATATAAATTTTGTGTTATGCATACTTACCCATTATTGAGCAATCACAATCCAAAAAGTGTTCATACTTATATGATAGGCTACTATATTTAAATAAAATTTTATTTGATAATATTTAAAAATAAAAATTATATTATAGTAGTATTTAATTTTATATTATAAAAAAAAATTATATATTACTTATAAGCTAAAAATAGACAAATTTAGAATAAATTTTTAATTAAAAAAATTATTTACAAATTTTTGGTGAACTTTTTAAATATTAATTTTAAGACTATATGGTTTTTAATACAATATTTTAGTTTATATAAAGAATGACAATTTTTATTAGTATCATTTTTGCAATTTATTTATAAAAATTTAGACTTGTACAAAATGTAAATTTTTTTTTTAGTTTTGAAAACATATGAAATTTTAAAAAAACTTGAAAAATTTTTAATAGTAAAAATTTTTAAATATAATTTTTAAAATTTTAATATATAAAAGTTTATTAATATTTTGAAAAAAGTTTTATAATAAAGTTTAGAAAATATGCTTTTAAGAATATATTTTATAAGCAAATTATACTCTATATTATTAATAAATTATTATATTATTTAAAAAATACTAAATACAATTTAATTTTTCAAACAAATTTATTTGAAATACAGTTTAAAAAATAATTTAATATATAAATTATGTTGTTTAATAATATATAAGATAGTATTGTTTAATAATATAAACTATATATCATATTAAATAATTGTAAAAATAGCAATAATTAAATAAAACAAAAACTAATGATATTGATTTTGACAAAAACAAAATAGAAAAAAATGTAAAATATAATAAATAAAGCTTAAATAAACTGAATAATATACAAAGAAATAATTACAAATACAAAAAACAAACTTTTACAACAATA